GTTTATATCAATTCTAGCAAGATTTAATTCTGAAAATCCAGTATTAAAACAATCAACCAAACTTCATGAGAAGAAAAATATCAGCTACTTTCACTATTCATAGTCATAGGTGCCTAAGCTCTCACAACAGTCCACGTTAAGCCAAGTTCACCTTAAAATTTCCTCGTACTGAATTTGGTCAAGCTACCCGCATCTTAACATATAGTATACCAAGATGATAAAGGTCCACCCCAAAACTTAGGAAACATTTTAGGATACTTTTAAAACTTCAAAATCTTACATAAAAAAGAATAGCTACTATTCTAAGAATGCTATATATCAACAATTTTCATATCAATGAGTATAATTGTAAGTCATGTCATAACGCATGCACTATGAAACTAAATATTAGAAATTGGAAGAGAAGCTTACACGCTTGCTTTCTTCAAAGTAGGCACTGGTCCAGTCAGCAAGTTTTCAGTTAAGAATCTAAACATAATTGATACAGAAAAAAGGGCATGATACTAGAATGGTACATAAATTAAAAAAAGGCCTGCACATAGACTTAAATTCTCCCAGTGCTTCAAAATAAATATATGTATATATAACTTAGCATATGTTTGAGCTTGTTTCAGTTGTAAGCATGCATGATTAACCACTGGTGTGACAAAACCATTGAAGAATGTCTGCTTGTGTTTTCTTGTAAGAAAGTCAAGATTTGTTATTCAAATTGCTTACATATACTCCACTTCTGGTAGAGCATCAAAGTTGCTTGGAATTTTTCCGGTTAGCTTGTTAAAGCTGAGGTCTCTGCACAAACGAATAACAATGCATTTCAGATATGCTCCCCCAGAGAGACACGTTATTTAAATTAATAATAAAATCACTCCAGGAATCAGGTAAGTGTAAAATCTAATGCCAGGATATCCTTGAGTTATTAGAATAGCATCTAGAAAGAAGATAATTTATCTGGAGACACTAAAGAAACAGGGACAAAGACATTTGTACTAACAAAGTTTTCAACTTCGTCAGGTCCCCGAGATATGTAGGTAGCTGTCCAACAATATTGCAACTCCTCAACATCCTGTAACAAAAGCACTAAAATTATGAGTTTGCACTACAGACAGAAATTGTGTGTCATGGAACCTTTGCAAAAGACTTCTGGTACAGACAGACATTGTGTGTCATGGAAACATTAACTCACAGTGTCTTCATGCCTGTCATTTTCTCAAGTCGAGGAAAGGTTGCTTCAGGCCCACTCAAGTCAGTAATTCTCCTGCATGTTAAAATCGAGCAATGAACATACAGAATATTGCTAATCTGTTTGTATTTATAAATAGATACAAAATCAAAATCCATACTAACAAGTCAGTTAATTTTGTCAAAAGAGAAATGCCGGAAGGAATTGGCCCCGTCAAACCACTAGCCTGAATCAGTCTGTTTTAACAAGTCATAACATTTGAATTACTGATAATATTCAGAATCAAGTAGCAGCAAAGATAACAACAACAACAACAACAACAAAAACTCACAGTTTCTCAAGATTTGTCCAGTTCTTTATAAAATCAGGTATCTGCCCAGAAAAGTGACTGTCACCCACCCGGCTGCATAATGATTGGCAAAAGGAAAACAGTATCAATTAATCCTATAATGCGGTATTTGGGTGCTTAGGAAACCTTTAAGAAAAAAGAACAACAGAAGCTTACAAGTCTTTTAGTGTGGTAAGATTTCCAAATGTATCTGGCAACTCCCCAGTAAAATTATTTGAGGTAAGAAGCCTAACCATGAAGGAGACATAACAATTATATTAAAGATAAAGAAGTCGATGATTTCTGATGAAAATATCCAGCATCTGTCTACAGCAAAGCGATTCCATATAATAAACCAAATATTCTTTTCTCACGATAACATTCGGAATAGGACAATCTTACATTCTTTCTAGGGGCAAATTCCCAAGCTGCGGAGGGAGCACTCCAGAGAAATTATTCATAGTGATGTCCCTACACAAAGCAAATTCAATTCCATTGATTAAAAACAGATCATCATTAAGGATCTCCAAAAAATCAAGTGGGGGAAAGAAGAAACAAATGCGTAATCAACACTCACAATTTCTTCAGGGTTGCGATGTTTCCAATCTCTTTGGGGATAGAACCGGTCAAACGGTTTGCAACAAGGGAACTGCAACAAAACTCATATCTTTAAGATCACTTTTATTTTATCAAATAAATGCAACATTTATGATTCAAATGGCTCATGACCACTAAAAGGCCATGAATATGAAATGGCTGAAGAACACTGAAGTAAGCACTAAAACAACAAGAACATCACACACACACACATGAATGCATAGCCAAAAAAGACCGTACATGTTGACAAGTAGAAGGGAGCCCCATTCTGGAGGGATGGTACCATTCAGGTAGTTGCGGGTGAGGTCACTAAAAGAGAGTGAAAAGTGAGTCATTTTCGCATTGACAACAGGCATACATGTAACGTAACAACGTGCTTACATTTCTTTGAGATAGGTGAGCCTGGCCATCTCTACTGGGAGTGTTCCTGGCAAATCCAGAG